TTGACTGTAATTCCGCGGAGATTTTGTCAGTCACTGTGAGCATTCAGCATTTTGTATAACCTTTTGTTTCTACTTCTCTCCCAAGTTTATACCTTATCTCTGAAAAGGGTACATTTAAAGTTTTGATATTTTCACTTGCAAACAATTTACAGATAACATGTAATCCAATCTGTATTTCGTTAATATTTTTGCTTCTCAACATTTGTTGAGCGCCCCCTATGACAGCAGCATCGTGTAGGTTGCTGAGGTATGGAAGTGAGAAAGAAAAGAAAATAGAATGTTGATTAAGACAGGCTTCCAGCCCTAGAGAAATTAGTAAAAGAAACCTGCAAGTGATAAAAATCCGATGTGACAATATCATGTGTGCATAGGCCAACTCTGTTAGAGGTGGGAGAATCACAGAGCTCCCCAAAGTAGGGGACGTGTAATTGGATCTTGAAGGATGAACAGGAGTTTGCCAGACATTAGATGAAATCAGCTTTCTGGACAGAGGGAACAGTATGTGTAAAAGGTAAGGAATGAAGAAAGAGTAAATATTTCTAATGGCTGGTGTTACAGGCTGAATTGTGTCCCCCCAAAATCCATATATTGAAGCTCTAACCCCAGAATGTGATGGTTTTTGGAGACAGGGCCTTTAAAGAGATAACTAAGTCAAAGTGAGACCATTAGGGTGGACCCGATCCAATCTGACTGGTGTCCTTATAAGAAGAGGAAATGTGGACATGCAAAGAGACAGGAGGGATTATATGCACAAAGGAATGACTATGGGAGGACAGAGCGAAAAGATGACTATCTGCAAGCTAATGAGAGAGGCCTCAGAAGAAACCAAAACTGCTGGCACCTTGATCTTGGACTTCAGCCTCCAGAAGCGTGAGAAAGAAATTTTTGTTGACCACCAGCCTGCAGTATTCTGATATGGCAGCCCTAACAGACTAATACTGCTGGAATTAGGATGTCTGAGTGCTCATGGTTTCTCCTCAACACTCACATAATACAGAGAGCTTATCATCAGTGCACTGATTCATTATTTTATCATGATCCATTTATGTCAGTGTCTCTCCCCCAGACTTGAGGAAGGTCACAGTGAGCTCTAATTTTTATTACAGTTCATTTAATGTCTCCAGAACATTATACAGTGCCTTATACAGGTTCATAAAAAGCAACCAAATTTTCAAAATTATTGTATGTTATTGCACAAAACACTAGTTGCAAGTCTAATATAAAAAAGTATACATCTACACTTATCACTTTAATGACTGCATTTAAGTGATTTTTTTTTTTTTTCATGAGACAGAGTTTCACTCTTGTTGCCCAGGCTGGAGTGCCGTGGCACGATCTCAGCTCACTGCAACCTCTGCCTCCTGGGTTCAAGCAATTCTCCTGCCTCAGCCTTCCAAGTAGCTGAGATTACAGGCATACGTCACCACACCAGGCTAATTTTGTATTTTTAGTAGAGATGGGGTTTCTCCATGTTGGTCAGGCTGGTCTCAAACTCCCGACCTCAGGTGATCCACCCACCTCGGCCTCCCAAAGTGCTGGGATTAGGGGTGTGAGCCACCGCGCCCAGCCCTAAGTGATTTTTATCCTCTTTAATGATTCCTATGACAGTACAGTGTATACATTTATTATTGCCAGTTTCCTTTAGAATAATTTTATCAAGTCCCCTAAAAAAAAACTCTCACAATGTACTTTAAAGAGATTTTGTTAATTTTTGGATTAATTTTGGGAGAATCAATTGTTAACATATTAAATTTTTTTTATCACATGACAAGGGATGTCTTCTCATTTACTAATTTACTTCTTTTTTTTTACCTTGTATGTCTTTGTAATTTTTATTAATTAAGCTAGGTACTTTTTTTTTTAAATGTACTCTATGTATTTAAATTTTTTATTTCTAAATAAATTTTTTTTTATTATACTGTCTAATTATTAATAATTATTACTGGTCTAGAGGTTTTTTTTTTATATATTTATTTTGTAGCCTATCATCTTCCTATCTTATCAGTTTTTTTTTCGTTTTTAAATTGATCCATGTGGGTTTTCTGGATAAGCACTCTTTTTTTTTATGGGTAATGATAATTTTCTCTCTTCAAAGTATATATCTTCTTTTTTTTTTTTGTTTTATTGTGTTGGGTAGAATTTATAGAACAATATTAAATTTTTTTTTTTCTCTCTGGCACTCCTTGTCTTCTTGGTTCAGTCTCTAGAATTTTTTTTTTTTTTCCCATTAATTTCAGATAATCTTTTCTTATTTTGTCAATTTTTTTTTTTTATAACAAATTTCCTATTTTATCAAGAATATTTCATTGAATTTTTTTTTTTACCTTTTTATCAACTAAAGCTATAAAAATTGTTAAAGCTCTTTTTTTTTTGTACATTGGAAAGGTAACATTTGAGAACCATTACCTGTAACGGTAAGCACTTGTCCCAGACTATCAAGTAGCTATATTAGCATTGTTCAAAATCTTGGCACAGGCCTGGCATGGTGGCTCACACCTGTAATCCCAGCACTTTGGGAGGCAGACATGGAGGATTGCTTAAGCTCAGGAGTTCGAGACCAGCCTGGGCAACATGGCAAAACCGCATCTCCACAAAAAATACAAAAATTCGCTAAGTGCAGTGGCTCATGCTTGTAATCCCAGATACTCAGGAAGCTGAGGCAGGAGGATTTTTTTTTCCCAAGAGGCAGGGGTTGCAGTGAGCCAAGATTGCACCACTGTTTTTTTTTCTAGGCAACAAAGACTCCATCTCAAAAAAAAAAAAAAAAAAATTTTTTTTTGCACAATGGTTGTCTGCTCATGGGAAAGTACATTATATTTCTTTTTTTTTTAGATGTAAGAAAGGACCAGCTGTGGAAAGTCTGCTTAATGCTATACCCAAAATTTATAAAATATGGCAGCCCAAATGTCACATACTATCACCTTTTTTTTTTGGCTGTAGCATCCTATGGATTTACTCCTTTGATCTATTGATGTTTTTTTTTTGGAAAACAAAGGAAAGTTTCTGCCTAGGAAAATGCCTAGCATTTTTTTTTGAACTAAATAAATATTTGTTCAATAAATTAATAAGTAAAAAATTTTTTTTTTGCAGTAGCTTTTGTGGACGTAGTTCTTGGACACTTTTTTCATTTTTTTTTACGATTTTTAGTCAACTTAATTCTTGATTCTTAACTTAAATTTTTTTTTTTTTTTTCTAGAAAATAATTTATGTTACCCAAACTTTTTAGTTTTCAACACATTAACTTTATAACTTAAAAAATTACCTCCATGTAAAAGAGAGTTTTTTTTTTTGGCTGTTTTGTTGATATATTCAATTAAAGAGGTTTCTTTTCTTTTTTTTTAAAAAAATTTTATCTAAGGCCTAGGTTCTATAATTTATACTTTTCTCATTAATTTCTAACTTTGACTGTGGCCTGTATAGTTTTTTGCTTTACTTTTTTTTTTTTTGTTAACAATGTTTATAAATATTCCCAGAGTGGAGAAAATTTTTTTTTTTCTCTACGGGACATAAGGTGCAGCAGGTAAATAATAGGCCTTTTAATTTCATTGACACCCTGATACTTCACTCTCCACCCTCTTTTATTTGCTTTTTTTTTAAATGACCATGAAATGCGTGATTGGTGTTTATGGGTATTAGCTTTTTTTTTAAATGAGTGTAATTGAACAAATTGATTAAACTATATATAAACTTTTTTTTTAAATGTAAAAAGCCCATTATAAGATATATCTTTATTGATAGATTTTTTTTTAAATCTTGGTTTAAGAGTGTTCGACTTTCCAATATAGAATGATTTTTTTTTTATTTTAAAACATGTAATCTTATTACATGATGAATGCAGTACTCATTTTTAATTAAAGAAAAACATGACAGTAATTGATAATTGATAACAGTTTTTTTTTTTTCTTTTCCTTTTTTTTTTTTTTCCTGATATAGCGTCTCTCTCTTTTTTTTTGACTGGTGTGCAGTGGTGTGATCTCAGCTCACTGCAAACTTGTTTTTTTTTGCTCAAGTGATCCTCCCACCTCAGCCTCCTGAGTAGCTGGGACTATAGACACATGCCATCACACCTGGGCTAATTTTTGCACTTTTTGTAGAGACAGGGTTTTGCCATGTTGCCCAGGCTGGTCTCGAACTCTCGGGCTCAAGGATCCACCTACTCCAGCCTCCCAGAGTGCTGGCATTACAGGTGTGAGCTACAAGGCCCAGCCAATAATGTTTTTTCTGATTAAAACATACATGTTTATCATAGTTTTTTTTTTAAAAGAAGGCAAGGTGATTTAAATTCCAGCTCCTTCATAGATTTTTTTTTTGTCCTTGGATGAGGCACTTAATCTTTTCAGACCACTTATTCATCTCTTTAGACCACTTTTTCGTCTCTGAAAGGGGATTTGCAGGTTGTTATAATAATGTTGATAAAGTATCTGATACTTAAGTTCCCAGTGAGTGGGAGCTCTTTTTTAGGAGTGAATTCTTTAAGATTTACATGAGTTTGATAGTGTCCTATCTCCAAATATTTTAGAAAGAAAAATCAGTATATGACACTTCCTTTGGGGAATTTTTTTTTTGCCAAAGGTATTGTTTTTGACTTCTAAAAATTAAACTAAAATTTTTTTTTAGCAGGTAGCGTTTACTATGTTGTGATATTCAGATTAGCAGATTTTTTTTTCCAGGTGGAGTATTCACTTACCTGTTCAAAAGACAGAGACGTTAACAAAAATACAACCATCATCTGTATCTAGAGAGCACATAACATGAGAAGTTTTTTTTTAGCTGATACTTCAATGAGTCAAAACAGAAGTATAAGCATTTGTGAAAAATATAACTATCATTATCACTGGGTTCTTACCTTTGGTTGTTTAAGTTTTTTTTTTTTGTCTTCTAGAAGTGGAAGTCACTGGTGTATCCAAAACAAACAGGGATATACTGTAAATCTTGACATCGTCAAAATCCAGGCCCCAATTTTTTTTTTTTTATAAGCATGCTGATTTTTCTGTTTCCTTAAAGATACACAAATTTTTTTTTTTCAAAATCATTCCCAGGGTAATAAACAGTTCTGTCCCGTTGTCAAAGTAGGATTTTCATGACTCAGCGTTGGATTTGCGGATTTACACGTGGATGAAAATAACAGCAACATCATTATCCTTTGCTTGAGTCTGAGCCTATTAATTTTTTTTTTAGTTAGGAATAAAAGAGGGGTTCTCAAGTCTATACCTCTCAATTTTTTTTTAAGTAAACCAAAGGTAATATTGCCTGATGAATTTTATTAAAATTATACTTCCAACTTCACCCAGGGTTATAATCTTGAAAATAGTGTCTAGGTTTTTTTTTTAGTATAACTACATTTTCAAATATAGTGCCACGATATTAAAAGTTTTTTTTTATATTAATAGGATGCGCTTCATTATTCATTGATCTTTTAATTTTTTTTTTTATGGAGTAATTGCATATTTGACACATATCTGGTCAAGAAATATTTTTTTTTAAAGCTGAGCTTGCCTGAAAGTATAATTCATACTTTTGATGCTTTTTTTTTATCACAATATTTCAGTTGGTGTCTCAATGTTACGCTAATAACTTTTTTTTTAATTTCCCTAAGAACTGTTTTATGCAATATATGACAGGCTACTTTTTTTTTAAACTTTTGCTTATGGCTGAAAATCAGAATGACATGAAATAATTTTTTTTTCCATTTAGCAAAACTGCCTTTATTTCCATCTATTAGCTCCAATTTTTTTTTATGCATTCTCCAGTATTTGCAATGTTTTTCCTGCTGAACAATTTTTTTTTTAGTAACACTTACTGCCTCAGTTGAATGGTTTCAGCTCCAGTGGGGTAAGAGGCTCTCAAAAGAGGAGGCACCTCAAGATGCCTAGCAGAGAAATTTTTTTTTGTACTGTGTACCTTAGGAAAATTGACTTCTGAGTTCCAGAATTGTAAAAATAAATTCTTGTTTCTAATATAAAACATGCTTCATAAAAAGATATTTTTTTTTGAAAGAAAGAAAAGAAAATGGAAACATAGTCTTACTATTTTGTTTTTTTTTATATTAACATTTTTCTTATACCTACCATTATATTTTTAAAATTTTTTTTTTTCTGATTTTATGTAATATTATATTATGATAATTTTTATATTGTTTTTTTTTTAATGCATTCTTTTTAAGATTACATAATCTTCTACTGTATTTTTTTTTTTTATAATTTATTGATTCATTTTCCTATTATTGGATATTTTTTCCTTTTTTTTTAAACATTTCAAAATGAATATTCTTTTTTTTTTTTTTTTTTTTTTTTTTTTTTGAGATGGAGTCTCACTCTTTCGCCCAGGCTGGAGTGCAGTGTTTTTTTTTCGGCTCTCTGCAGCCTCCACCTCCCAGGTGCAAGCAATTCTCTTTTTTTTTCCTCCCAAGTAGCTAAGGTTACAGATGTGGGCTACCAAGCCCAGAAATTTTTGTATTTTTAGTAGAGATGGGGTTTCTCCAGGTTGGCCAGACTGGTCTTAAACTCCTGGCCTGAAGTGATCCGTCTACCTGGGCCTCCCAAAGTGCTAGGATTACAGGTGTGAGCCACTGAGCCCAGCCTCAAAATGCATATTCTTTTTTTTTATTATGTACCTCTGTGACTAATTAGTGTTTACTTAGAAAGTATTTTTTTTTATTAAAGTGTATTAACAATTTTTATGACTCTAAATTCATATTGTTAATATAACTTTCAGAAAATTTGTTTACCTCTGTTTGACTTTATAAAGTTTTTTTTTTCACTAGCATTTGTATTTTACTGCTTTCTTTCAACTCACATGGCAGTATCTTAAACCTATCTCTATGAAATTAGTTGTAAATTTGGCAAATCAATTTTTTTTTAATATATCATTTCTAATTTTTTGCAATCTTGTACTTAAACACATACCTTTAGGCAGCTAGTATACATGTTTTTGATAAATCCATCTCTGTTATTTTTTTTTTCAAATTAACACACGTGGCCTCTTGTGCCACAATTTAGCTTTATGCTAAAATTTTATTGTGTCCGTCCTTTTATATTATGCTCCTCTCTAAACTTTTTTTTTTGCTTAAGAAAATAAGTCCCTTGGCGGGGTGTGGTGGCTCATGCCTGTAATCCCAGGACTTTGGGAGGCTGAGGCGGGCAAATCACAAGGTCAGTTTTTTTTTACCAGCCTGACCAACATGATGAAACCCCGTCTCTGCTAAAAATACAAAAACTAGCCGGGTGTGGTGTTGCGGTGCCTGTAATCCCAGCTACTCTTTTTTTTTAGGCAGGAGAATCACTTGAACCCAGGAGGCGGATCTTGCAGTTTTTTTTTTTCACACCACTGCATTCCAGCCTGGGCAACAGAGTGAGACTTTTTTTTTTTTACAACAACAACAACAAAAAACAAAAAGAAAAAGAATAAGCCCCTTGCCTTGAATACCATGGGAGTGCCTTAAATCTATCTCTATGAAATTAATTTTTTTTTTTTGGAAACCCATGAAGTAATCAACAGACACACAAAGAAATTATCAAGAGAACGAACTTTTTTCAAATCCTAAAACAATCCTGTGAAGTAGAAATTTTTTTTTCTTCATCTTTTGAAGAAGAAAATGACGGCTGGGAGATGAGGTTTTTTTTTTAGTGTCACAATGGCTACTACCGTATCAGAGTTAGCTGTGATTTTTTTTTTTACAGGGTTACTAGATTTGGCAACTAAAAGTACAGTATAAGTATTTTTTTTTTATTGCATGAGACAAACTCATTTTAAAAATTGTTTTTTTTTTTTTTTTTTTTTCAAATTTAAGTGGGTATTCTGTTTTTTATCTGATACCTCTATGTCTAGGCCTGTCGGACTTCAGAGCACCACAGTACTTTTGGCATCTGGATTTTTTTTTCATGGAAAATTAGTCAGGTCGCCTATTTCAGCAAATTGCCTCTTTTTTTTTTAGCAAATAATTCTTGTATAGAAAAACATTTTTCACCAACTGTTTTTTTTTTTCCTCATCTTTGCATTTAATGCACCTGTAAACTCTTAGCACTTTTTTTTTATACAAATGAAAAATTTGATAATGCCCACTATTATTTTTTATTTTTTTTTTGTCCCTTGAGGCCCAGTGCGGTGACTCATGCCTGTAATCCCATTTTTTTTTGAGGTGGAGGCAGGTGGATCACGTAAAGTCAGGAGTTTGAGATTTTTTTTTCCAACATGGTGAAACCCCATCTCTACTAAAAATACAAAAACTTTTTTTTTTTGGTGGCACATGCCTGTAATCCCAGCTACTTGGGAGGCTGAGTTTTTTTTTTAGCTTGAACCCAGGAGGCAGAGGTTGTGGTGAGCCGAGATATTTTTTTTTCAGCACTCCAGCCTGGGCAAGGCATTGAGACTCCGTCTCAAATTTTTTTTTAAACAAAATACATACATACACACACACACACACACACACATATTTTTTTTTAATACATATAATTGTCCCTCACATCTAAGAAATGTTTTTTAATTTTTTTTTTTGGATCTAGCATTCATGAAAGTACTCAGACCAGACCTCTGTTTTTTTTTTTCATATTTTCAACTTGATATTGCTTCTTGGGGAGTTAAGGTCTTTTTTTTTTGACTGCCTGTTGTTGAATGTGGAAGACCTTTTTGCTCTTACATTCAGTGTTCACTTTACTTCAGCCTCTCTAATGCCAACTGTTGTTATCCATTTTTTTTTAGTTTTCTGCGATATCTCCCTGGCCTTAAATATATGGGTTTTGTAGTCCCAGAACTGAGTTTGAATCTCAGCTCCGCTGTTCACTAGCTCTGCGATTTGGAGCATGATAATGAACTGCTGGGCCTCAGTTGCAGTTTTCATGGATTTTTTTTTATAATATCTAGTAGGTTTGTTGTGAGGATTAAAATGAGACAGTTTTTTTTTAAGCATTATTACTGTTCCTAAAGCATTGTAAATACTTGAGAATTTTTTTTTATAATTTTAAAAAGACAAATATCAAAGTTAAACTTCATTTTATTTTTTTTTCATTGTCACAAATTTACATGGTTTCTTTTTAGAAGTGGAAGATTTTTTTTTTGGTTAGAAAATATACCAGGGTTAATTAGAGCAATCTTCTTGCAGTCCTACTTACCTCATACACAGATGATGTAATTATAATGAACATATCTACAAAGAAATCAAAATGACAAGATCCAGAATTCACTCCCATAGGTAGCCATGTTTTTTTTTTTTCTTCATGGTTTTCCTGTTACTTGAAACTTTCTTAAATGATTTTTTTTTATTAAATAAAACAGGGCAATGATTCTAGTGAACCTTTCTTCCTCCAGCCAACTTAAATCTCGGTCAATATCATGAAACTTATAGAACTTGTTATTTTTTTTTAGCTCTTCCACAATGAATCTCTCTCTCTCCATATTCCAAATATTTTTTTTTCTTTATCTCAAAAATAAAGCAAATTATTGCCTTCTTTACTAGCTCTCACACTTCCTTGATCTCTCTTCCCCACCCCCCCCCAAAAAAAACCATTTTTTTTTTTGAACTGAATGTTACAGATTCCTGGGATCATGTGTATTAGTTTTTTTTTTTTGAAAAAATTACTTAGCTTTTTTAAGGTTCAATTTCCTTATTTTTTTTTTTAAAATAATAACATCTACCTCATTAGGTTTTTATGAGACTTAAATGGATTTAGCATTTCACACACTGTCAGTATATAAAGAGGACACTTCATAATTTTTTTTTCTCTCCCTTTTCCTTCCTTATAAAGTGTGGAGCACGTAAACTGGAGCTTTGCAGCATATTGCTGAGGGCTTAACTGTACCCAAAATGCTGCAATGGGAGTTTTCGTAAGCAGATATCTGTGGCTCACACACACACACACACACAACTGTACCCAAAATGCTGCAATTTTTTTTTTCGTAAGCAGATATCTGTGGCTGTTAAATAACTAACTTGTGCTTTTTTTTTTCACTCACGCTTGTAATCACTTTCGGAGGCAGAGGTGGGTGGTTTTTTTTTGGTCAGGAGTTCGAGACCAGCCTGGTCACTATGGTGAAACCCTTTTTTTTTTAAAATACAAAAATGAACCAGGCATGATGGTGCATGCCCATAATCCCAGCCATTTGGGAGGCTGAGGCAGGAGAATGGCTTAAACCCAGGAGGCGGAATTGTAGTAAGCCGAGACTGCACCACTGCCAGCCTGGGTGACAGAGTTTTTTTTTTTTTAAAAAAAAAAAAAAAGACAAACAAAGCTATTTTTATACCTTTTTTTTTAGTAATGTATTATATAATTCTAGCAAAATATAACCAGGTGAATTTTTTTTTATTTATTTTCAATTTTCATTCAGTATTTTCATTTTTAATGAATTTTTTTTTTCACGTGTGTAGAGTGTTTAATAATGCAAAATAATAATCCTTTTTTTTTTTATAAAATTTGCTCAAATGTTTGTACCTTCATTTCACATATAATTTTTTTTTATCTACGGTGTGCTGGGCACTCTTTTGCGAGGCACAAACAAATTTTTTTTTCTCAGAGACTCCACGGAGGCAGGATACAGGCAAACAAAAAAATTTTTTTTTGAGAGAGAGAGAGATGATTACAAAACAGTGTGATAAAGGGCTGAGCGATTACATACAAGGAGCCCAAAAATTGGGGGAGGAAAGGAACTGAACTTTTTTTTTTTAGGAAGATTATCTTTTTGCTGAAATTGAAAGTAAGTAGGATTTTTTTTTGCATATATAAAACTTACATACTACAATATTTTTCTGACTTATTTTTTTTTTAAAGGGTAAGAGTATTGTGTTGTGTTGAGTTGTGTTGTGTTGTGTTTTCCCCTCCAAAGCATGATTAGCTTGACCCTGTCTACCTATCACTGGATTTCTTTTCCTGGTACCTGCAGTAACCTTGACTGATAAAAGGAACATAGCTTTTTTTTTTTATCTATTTAATAGGCTACTTTTAATCTTGTTCCCTGTCTTTTTTTTTTTGCTCCCTCTAAATCTTTATAATCCTATTTAAACTACCTCTAATTTTTTTTTCTCATTTGCATGACACTGATTCTCTGTATTTTTATTTCAAAATTTTTTTTTTTTGAGGGATTCTGGCTCTTGATCCTAAGTTATTAAATATTTGATAGTCTGTCTTCCTACACACCAAGATCTTCAGCCGGAGTGCTCAATGATTTTTTTTTTATGTTTATAACCATAATCATTAAATGTCATGTAATTAATTGTTTTTTTTTTATTTCCCCTGTAGGAACTGTAAATGTCATAAGATCAGGAACCTTTTTTTTTTTGCCCATTACTTGTCCATTACTGTATCTCTAGCATGCAGTTTTTTTTTTTGCATAGTCATTTATTCAACAAATATGTAAATATTAAGTGACATTTTTTTTTCTAAGCATTGCAGAGTCAATAGGTAACAAAACTAATTTCTGCTTTTTTTTTGCATACACTCTAATAAGGTGGGAAAGACAATAAATAAAGTAATTTTTTTTTAAGCACTCAAAGTTGATATGATAAAGAAGAAAACAAGGGAAATTTTTTTTTAATGATATGGGGTGGGGCAGGACTATCTTAGATGGGGTTTTCTTTTTTTTTCTCATTTAGCAGAGACTTGAATATAGAGACAGAGGTAGCCATGCCCACTTCTAGGGGAAGAGTTTGCCCAGCAAGAAAACAACATGTGCAAAGACAGGACTGTGGTGGAGTGTTTAACGAAAAGCAGGGAAGCCACTGTGGCTATTTTTTTTTAAGCAAGGGGAAGAGGGATTTAAAGAGTTAAGGTCTTAGACGTTTTTTTTTGTAGAGAACAGTCAGGAGGCAACTGTAGTAATTCATTCAGTGTTTTTTTTTCATGGTTCAGACTAGGTTGGTACAAGTGGAAGTGGTGACAACTTTTTTTTTTCCAGATATATTTTAAGGACAGAGATTTGGTAATTGATTGTCTGTGGGGTATGTGTGAAAGAGTGAAGTCAAGGATGACTGTGGACTTTCTGAATTAAAGCTACTAAAAAAGAGGTTGCAATTTGATGATACAGGAAGGACACATTTTTTTTTAAGCTTGGGGTAGAGGGGAATTAGGAGTTCTATTTGAAAAATTTTTTTTTTTAGGCTTTTTTCTCTAAAAAAAAAAAAAAGAAAGAAAAAGGATTTTTTTTTATTGTACACGTCAGTGCCTCAGTAATATTCATTGGAATGAATTTTTTTTTTACTTCTGTATTTTTTTGTACTTAGGATTCCAAACAAGAGGAAATGGAGGCTATACAGCTCTCAGAGTAGCAACGTTAATAGTAAGATAAACTCTTTTTTTTTTGGGTTGAGGAAAAAAATAATAATAATGAAATAAACAACACTTTTTTTTTTAGCCCTTTGAGTGCAAAGGTTCTCATACAGATTATATTGGCATTTTTTTTTGGTCCAGGACTCAATTATATTGTATTTAGTATAATATCATAATTTAGTATATATATATACAAATGTGTTATTTTATGAGACAATTCATCAAATTTTTTTTTTAAAATAGCTAATGTGAGTCAATATATTCATTCATTCAGTGTATTTTTTTTTAGTACCTATTAACTCTTCCTCATTTAGAGACCTTGAATCCACTTTTTTTTTCCCTGGGTATACGTGGTGATTGGTTTGGTTGAAAAAAATCCATTTTTTTTTGGGCCCATGCAGTTCAAGCCCAAGTTGTTCAAGGGTCAACTTTTTTTTTTTTGTACAGGATTAAGAAAATGTTATTGTTTTTAGTTTTTTGTTTTTTTTTTTTTTAAAAAAAAGGATATTATATGCTAGACACTGGGCAAGGGATTTTTTTTTAGATCCCCTACTGTGAAAAGCAATTTGCCTAGTCAAGAGTGCTTTTTTTTTACATTAGACAAACTTTGGTTAAAATCTCAAATTTTCTACCTGTTTTTTTTTGTTACCTAGGTCAAGTTATGTCCTTTGTGATTTCTTAATTAATTTTTTTTTCTAATGTGTAAACTGCCAAAAATGAAGTGCTCCATCTATGGTTTTTTTTTTGCTAATGAGCAAACTATCTTTGGTTATAATTTAGCTTCTCAGTTTTTTTTTTTTAGAGGGAAACTTACTAGTTACAGAACATGAGCATCCAATTTTTTTTTTCAGACCCTTGAAAGTTAAGTTTATATGAAATCAGTCCCCAGAATTCCCTAATCACTGAACAAGTAAATAAAATAAAATTTTGATCACACACAATTTTTTTTTTGGGAGTTGTACACTTACCAGGGTACTATCATGTCTTTTTAATTTTTTTTTCATTAAAGTTTGTTTTATCTGATACAAGAATTCTGCCTGCTTTTTTTTTTTTTTTGCATGAAATGTCTTTTTCCACCCCTTCACCTTAAGTTTATGTGAGTCCTTATGTGTTAGGTGAGTCTCCTGAAGGCAGCAGATAGTTGGTTTTTTTTTTCTTATCCATTCTGTAATTCTTCATCGTTTAAGTGGAGCATTTTTTTTTTTTACATTCAATGTTAGTATTGAGATGTGAGGTACCATTCCACTTTTTTTTTTACTTGTTGCCCGTATACTTTGGTTTTTTTTTTTTTTTTAATTTTTTTTTTTTGTATTTGCATGGTTTTGAAGGTTTCTTTTGGAGTTGATTTCAGGTTTTATTTCACTGTGGCCTGAGAGTGCTTGATATAATTTCAATTTTCTTAAATTGAGAAATAAAGAGAAAGAGTACAAAGAGAGAAATTTTACAGCTGGGCCTCCAGGGGTCTCCATCCAGGGGCCTCCAGGGGCCTCCATCACATATTGGTAGGACCATGATAGGTCCCAATAAACCTATCATAAACTGAAAATATCAAATTTTTTTTTTGCATTTAATACCCCAATACACCCACCATAAAGTAGAAAAATTTTTTTTTTAACCAGCATAAGTAGAGGAACATCTGTATACTGTAGTCTAAGTTTTTTTTTATGAAAAAGTAGCTAGACTTCAAACTGGACAAAATGTACAAATTTTTTTTTGAAGTATGACACTAGAGAAATGGGGGGAAAATGAGTTGAACCTTTTTTTTTGACCATTTTTAATCTGTGACATGAGAAAAGGAAACCAAGCACTTTTTTTTTGTCTTGTTTAGCTAAGGAATCAGAAATATGACCTTGGAGATTGAAGTAGCTAGAATTTTCAGAGCCAAGTACTAGAGAAGAGGAAGCAATGTAGAGAAAGAGCCAGAAATCTGTGGAGAGGTCTTTTCCAATCTTTGTGGAATGTTTTTTTTTACATGCATAAATGAAAACTCCACAGACTGAACAAAGAATAACTTTTTTTTTATTAACAGTTAAATAATCCCAAAACTCACACAGACCTTGGAGATATTCAAGTTACTACCTGCAGACTGGAGAGATTCAGTGAAGACCTCAGGCATTAATAATGCTTACATGGACTTGGCATGGTGACTCATGCCTGTAATCCCAGCACTTTGGGAGGCTGAGGTGGGCAGATCATTTGAGGTCAAGAGTTCAAGATTTTTTTTTCCAAAAAGGTGAAACCACGTCTCTACTAAAAACGCACAAACATTTTTTTTTGGCGAGGCGGTACATGCCTGTAGTCCCAGCTACTCAGGAGGCTGAGGCAGGAGAATCGCTTGAACCTCAGAGGTGGAAGTTGCAGTGAGCAGAGATCACACCGCTGCACTCCAGTTGGGCAACAGAGTGAGACTCTATCTCAAAAATAAATAAATAAATAAAATAATATAAATGCTCACATGAAAAGCCACACTTTTTTTTTTTGGCTAACCTAACTCTAGGTTAAAGGATACAGTACTCCCTTATTTTTTTTTTTACTTTCAACAATTTTATTTACTTGTGGTTGAGCATAGTCTGAAAATATTTAAGCAAAATTCCAAAAATAAACAATTCATAAGTTTGATGTATTTTTTTTTTGTCAGTAGTAGCCTGATGCTACCTCACAATGCCAAGTCATTCTTTTTTTTTATCTCATCACATAGGCATTATATCATCTCACATCATCACAAGTTTTTTTTTTATAGTATAATAAGATATTTTGAGAGAAAGAGAGAGACCACATTCACATAACTTTTATTAAAGTATATTGTTATAATTGTTCAATTTTATTATCAGGTGTTAATCTCTTTCCATGCCTAATTTATAATTTTAACTTTATCATAGGCAAAAATACATAGTATATATAAAATTTAGTACTGTCCATGGTTTCAGGCACCCCCTGGGGGTCTTGGAACATATTCCCTGCAGATAAAAGAGAACTATGATTTTTTTTTTCTGCCATATAAGTCTTAAAAGAAGCTCATAAAGGATCAAGCTAATTTCCAAATAATTCAAATTCCATCTCCTAAGGAGGCAATAAAATCCAAACACTTCACAATATAGACTAATAATGTCTGGCATTCAATCAGAAATTACTAGTTTTTTTTTGAAGCAGGAAAATGTGACCTACAATCAGGAAAAAAATCAGTCAATAGCT